AATTAAAGCAATGCCTACCAATTGCCGATGAATCGTATCTTTCATGCAATTTGCCGAAATTTTAAATAGTAGCTACTAACTAGAGTAATAAAATTTATAGCTTTTCAATTATTGTACGGCTTTAGTTTATGATAAAATTATCAATGATAAATAATTAAATATTAATCCACTCATTGCAAAACGAATCATAAAAAAATGAAAAATACAAGAATATATATAAATTAAAAAAGTACTTGAATAATATTAGTTTAATTAATAAAATTACTTTAATCTATACTTATATATGTAAAAACGGTTCTCTATTTTTTTATTTACAATCTTTAGACTGTTTTACTTTTATAAATTATAATCATCTCTAACTCACTTCTAACATTTTCTCCAACTATTTCCTTTATTATTTTTTAATTTTATAATTTTTTTAAATAGAAAGACACAAAATATCCTTTTTATATTAATTATAATAAAACACATTAAAATAAAATATAAAAATTACAAAATGTTGAAAAAAATTTATTAAAATATATCGAAAGTAGCATAAAAAATATCAGAAGTTAATTTAATTAATTGACAAAACATAATATTGTATTACTGGTTACAAATATGTCTTCATGTCTAATGTTAATTAAAATAAATGTACACATTGGTTAAAGAAATTCAGTATAAAGTATAATATTATAATTTAATTAAATGTAATAATTTAATTTAATATAAAATTTCAAAAGATTCATATCATAAAATGGAAAAAGATACATAATATGTAGAAAAAAGAAATATTTAAAGTAATTGAATCCGTAGTTGAGCTGGAATGATACACAATAAGTTATATACAGTAATTATATACATAATATACTATATAAAGTCTCCTTTTTAATAGATGCGCTATTTTTCTATTTTTTAATTTCTTTAGTTATCTTTTTAATTTACTTTTAATAAATTTTATCTTTAAAACCTATTTTCTTATTTACTTCTTTTTCTCTCACTCCTGTATATTCTATTCCAATAAGTTTCTTATGAGTAGGCCAATTCTAGTTATTTAGACATCCATTGGCTCATGTTTATTATTTTTTAAACTGTAAATTTTTACACCATTAATTAATAGAGGTATATTTTATTATATTATTGACAAAATATCTTTTAACTTTGTCAAAAATCGATCTTTCTCAAAATCATGATTATATTCAACAATTATACTATTAATTAATGGAGATATATTTTAAAAATTCATAATCTTAATATGCGTTTTTATTTAATTATTTTTGGGGGCAAGACAGTGACAGAAAAAACAGATAAAACAACACGGCAATTGGGCTAGGGGGCAAATGCAAACTAGCTAGACTTGATCATTAATTAACTTAGAGAAAACTGTCTCGTTACATCTAAGCTATTTAACATGCTTAATGAAAAAAAAAAGGAAAACAAAAAAGAAACCGATCATCTAAGCTATTTACCGTTAAAAAATAGATCATCTGAGCTATTTGAACACGGTATTGTAGCATAATGTTTTTCTTTCCTCTTTTACAAAATTATGGATTGAATATATTTAAAAAAATTTAATTTTTATTAATTTTACATTTGATCCTTTTATAAACTTAATTTGATTTTAATCTCTAATTTTTCTGCGTAAATAAAAAAAATGTTGAAGTCAAGGACAAAAGTTATAGCAAGAGAAAAAGTTATAAATTAAAAATGAAAATCAACAAAAAAGTTAAAGACTAAAATTAATTGACAACAAATTTATTATGAAATTAAAAGAGAAATCGACAAAAAGCTAAAAAAAAAATATATTTAATTCCAAAACTATTGTAGACCATGATGGAGTTAACCACTAGGATTAGCTTAGTAATTGGGTGGAGAGGGGTTGGAGTAGTTAGAAGTATAGGGACTTAGGTTCAATTCTTATTGCGATCATTTTTGTAATCTTTTCTAACTTTACCAAAGAAATACTATGATGGAGTTTGTTTTAACCACTATACGTTGGAGTCAATTTTAAGTCTAACCAGATGCCGTTGTAGATAGCAAGGAGTTCCACAAGCTATGGGGTAAGTTTTAGTGTGAATGTCAAACTGTTGGACTTGTTGAATTTTATGAAAATCACACGGATAGTAAAACAAGATTTCCTGACACATTTTTATCTTGGTCGGTGATCAGTACCGTACCCGATCAAATGAAAAGTAATTTTTGTGGTACTAGGAAGTCACTCCTAGGTCATCTCTCAAGGAGCAACAAACCAAGAAAAGGTTCTCTTGATGCAAACAAACACACAAAAAAGTGGGGGCTTCATTGGAACAATGTACTCTCCAACTCAGTTACAACAGCCATATCATTGGTTCGCGAATTATCTTTTACTTATCTAAACCTTGGTCCATCACAAGAAGAAGGGGCACAAAATACTATAAAAAAAATGGCTAAACCCTAAACTTCGTCCAAGAACCAAAAGAAGGTGGCGGCTGTCCCCACTCCATGTCACATCCCTGGCCTAAAAACCTAGTATCCACTTTGTCCCCCTCTGAAATTCAAACACAAGGAATCTGAAATATTGGGCTGGCCTAGTGTTGGCCCATCTAGCCCATTACAAGCAACAAAACGAAATTCCAAAATAAAATAAAATTTAGGCTATGCTGAAATAGGTACACGTGGCAGTGTTCCCAGTCCATTAAGTCCTTACAAATTCTCTACAAATGATTATGAGATTAATTAGGCTAATAAATCCAATTAAATGCAATTCAGAATTAATAGCTCAATAAACTTCAAAATAATAAAATATGATAAGAGAGAACAATTAGGTACTAACAATATTTAATAGGAGTGTACAAAGGTAAGAAAATGCATTAAAATTATGATTCATCAGTCGACAAAATTATTAGTTAATTGATATAATTTTAAGTTAGTTGAAATGTAAAAATTTAGAAAGTACTATATTAAGCAATTTATATGATATACTTTTAAATTAATTGAGATATAAATTAAAAATTAAAAAACATGTTAAACACCTATACAATATTGAACATTAATTCAATATCTTTTAGGTAATCATAATTTTAGACCTTTATTATAATTAGTGGATTTATTAAAGACTAGTGGACTTTAGATTCTTTTCCTCATGCTTCATTTGTGTTTGATAATTTGAATCTCCGTCTAAGAGTTAGACTTTGACTTTTTCATCTCGTCTGATCAGTCTTGAGGGTGAACAACTTTTATTCTGTCCGGAATGTTTCTTCGTCTTGTGTTATCCAACGACTGATGATTGCTTTGTTGACTTATATGTGATTGATTGTTGAGCTTGATCAACTATTGTCTTGGTCTAGTTTTTCTCCTGTTTGATATTTGATTCGGCCTTGCGTCTGATTTCTTATGTTGTGCTCTGGGTTGTGCTTGACATATTTTTGTCTTATGTTCATTATTTTCTGGCACATATTTCATGATCCATTTATCATTTGTTTTGTTCATCCATGCTTCATGCTTTAGTTTTGCCTGCTTTTATATTTATTTGAAACACTAACACACAGTTTAGTAATAACAATGTGTATTATATCTTCCCCTTTTTGATGATGACAAATATAATCTATCAATTCATTTCAGATACAATATAACATACGTTTGGATTCATGCATATCAGGCAGTTTATCATATTCATGGGATTCATGCATTTGTTCTAAGGCTCTCCCCCTTAGTGTGTGCTCTCCCCCTTACTAGGTTATCCCAATTTCTCCCTTATATAGGTTTTGATATATTCATTCCTACTTCTCCCCCTTTGTAATCATCAAAAGGAATAGGGGTTGACAACCGGATATCTTATTGTTCACTTATCATTTCCATTCCTAACCTATCTCTTAGCCAGATATATCTATCCTCTTGAAGGGGCTTGGTAAAGATGTCAACTAGTTGTTCCTCTATTTTAACATATACTAGATTGAAGGTTCCTTTTTGCACATGATCTCTAATGAAATGATGTTTGATTTCAATATGTTTAGTCCTAGAATGCAAAATAGGATTCTTTGAAATACTAATGGCAGCAGTGTTATCACAGAGTACAAGAATACTTGATGGGCTCCTTCCTTCCATGGTGTGTTCTTTGGCTTCCAAGGAGGAGCTCCCTCTTTCTCCACGGACTAGGAAGAAGGTTGATGGCTGGATGTTCCTCAAGGGTGGTGGAAAAACAATATTGAAGAGGTGGGGGTCAAGGTGGGCGAAAATGGAGAAGAGAAGGTGGAAAGTGTTTATGGTGCTCTTGGCTAGCTCTCTCCACCAAGGGTTGGTGGAGGCCACTCAAGGGAAACTCAAACTCTCTTTAGGGTAGAGAGGAGAGGAGGTTGGGCATGAGGACCCTAGGAGACTAAGGAAGGATTTTGAGGCACAAAGGCTCACTCAAAATGCATATATTCCAAAGTGGGTACAAGGTGGAGGGACTAGAGTACTTATAGAGATAGGAGAGCATCCTAGGGTTTCTTGGGAGCATTTGGCCAAAAATTTCAAGTCCAAATGCACCCTAAATGAACCCTAGATGCAGCCCAAATGAAATGGCTCTCATCTCTCCAAAAAGACTAAAGTACCCTTAGTCCTAGAAAATGAAAGAAATGGACTTTTGACCTTACTAGTCAAGGTTAAGTCCCTAAATAAATCCTAAGCCTATTTTTGCCCCATAATACAAAGGCTAAATAAAAATACACAATAAAATCCTAATAGCTAATGTACCCCAAAATACAAGGGCAAAATAGGAAAGGAAAGCAACAAGCTAAGGAGAGGGCCCAAAATCCACACACATGATGATCATGGCTTTTGGTGTGGTGTGTTCTTCATCTTCCTCTACTCTCCTAGCCATGGACCTTGTGATAGGCCCTATATGATGTCTCAAGGATGGTCCTCCATCAGATTACTATTCTAATAATGACTATATTTCAACCATAACAATACAAATATATCCCTTTGTGCAGTTTAGAAACACAATTTTAGCATACATTTTGTTTTAACAGGCAAATATATCCCTCTGTGCAGTTCATGAACTGCTTCAGGTAATTAAAGACTGACCTGAGGTTCAATATCATGATTTGAATTACCCTGTATCGAGTTTCTTCCATGGTACTGAAGCAACTGCAGAACAAAGGTTTTTCAATCATAGAATCTTAAATGCAAGGATTCTAGAAGGGAAATTATTTGTATTAAAATCCAGAAACACAAGTACCTGTTCCCTCAAAGAAGACACTTCAGTCAAAAGAATCTCTCTCCACAGCAAACCGAGTAACTTCAGGGTTTCGATCAAGTCTACCCTGAAGTATCTGAATCTCATCATAAAGTGATTTATGTGATTCAGAATATTAATTTAGAATATTTTGTCTCTTTTCCACTTCCCTTATTATGTGACTTGGAAGGGAACACCAGTTTATCAACAAGAATTGCCAATTAAGTAGACTCAACAACAACTCTTTTATAATTGAATACTTGCACAAAAAAAGATAATACTGATTGAAGATACCCACAACCTCTCTAAAAGTGTTTCACGTTTCTACAGGGAGTAAAATATCATTTTATCGTGTTTTACATTGATCTATATTGATTTAAAGATGCTCACAACCCACCCAGAACAAAAATTGCAATTTGACATCTTCTCTCAAATGTGGCTCTCAATTCTTCCCTTTCTTACCATCACACTACGACGAAAGTGTACATGTTTTGTGTGCAAACGATCAGAAAACTTGATAAAAATAAAAAATATAGGAACTGCTGTTAATCAACAAAATCCATACTAACAATGCCAACTTACACTTAAGTCTTTGATAATGGGGTGATGTGTATCTAGTGTTTTATATGTTTTTTAAGCAATACCTTCATATATGGAAAACTGCACTGGTCAACCTTGTTATAGCTATTGGTTAGTATTGAGACACTTGTGATGTAATTTATTTATTATGCATATTGATGTTAAGCCTGTAAAATCATTAACTTCATCATACAATTTACAAGGAAATAATAATTACACTTGATTACATATTATATAGAGAATATTTAAAGATCATATAGTTCAAGATAACCTAATAATTTCTTGAAAGAAAATTTGAAGAGCAGTAACTCACCAGAGTCGAAATAAAGACAAATAGGGAATATCCATAGAGGCAGAGTAGTTGCACAAGGCCAGATGGTACAGAGATGTACTTAAGGATTAAATACAAACCAAGAGGAACCAGAAGCTTCGAATCCGCTTTCTCGATTATCTTCACCACTTGATCCACAACGGCCTTGCAAGCAGGTGAGTTTGGCTTGAACGCCGATTTCCTCAACTCCGCGTCTTTCTCCGCCACCGCGATAATCTCCATCACCGCCACTGCCTCCGTTCCCTTCCAAATCGTGGTTGGTTTTCCCTTCCAAATCTACCTTCTCAAACATTCAAGAAATTTTTAGGGTTCCAACTTTTTTTGAAGTTATGCCTTCGCCACCACAATTGTAGCCGTAGAAGTCACATTTCTCTGCAATTTTCCATAATCACGAGGAAACTATAATTGAACTCTGAGTAGAGAGAAGAGTTACATTACCTCTTGGACTTTGAAATTTGTCGGGGAAGACAAAAGAGAATGAGAGTTTGGCGTTTGTTCGTCTCGCATTAGGAGAAAATTCTTTGACTTGCAAAAAAAAGAGAATGAATGAGTGAACCCTAAAACGTGGAGAGAAAAAGAGTAATAAAATAGTGTTTTTGATTAAAAATAGGAAATGGGAAATGCTCAGATTAAACTATCTAAGTTTTTTATTTTTGATTTTTATTCTTTTAAAAATAATATAAAAAATGTAGCCACGTGTGATATAGAAAGGTTGAACAGGTATTTAAAGAGTGTGGCGGTTTAAACCCGCTGAAAATATAATTCTTTGGTGGCGGTTAAAGTAACCGCCAGAAATATAATATTTTTTTGCGGTTTTTTGAAACCGCCAGAAAAAAACCCCCACTAATTAAATAATTTTTTGTAGTGAAACTATAAGTTAGTAATAATTAAATGAATACTTTAATTATTACTATTTTTTTGTTATTGTGCTAACATGGTTAATTACATGCGTATATTATATTGTTAATTTTATGAGTTTTAACTATGCATAATTATATGCTTAGTTATCTCAAAGTGTTCTATTATATAGTTGTTAGGAATATCGATCGATTATGAGTGAACCTTAATTTTTTATTTAAGATTGAATATAATGGTTACACAATTAATGTATAATCATTATATTGAATCTTGAATTATCCGATTGGACAATTTGATACATTTTTTTGTAGTTGATTAATGCGCGCGCACACACACACAAAGACACAAACACACACACACACATACATATACATACATATATATATATACACACACACACACATACATACATACATATATACATACATACATATTGATCAATTGTAGATTTCAATTGACTACATTTCTTGTTGTTCTCAAAGTGTATACTTGATTATCGTGAATTTGATGTTACCAGTTTCATTTTGTGTACTTAGTGACTAATTCAAAATGTTGTCAAATTTAATGTATTAGATTTTAACTTTATGTATTAATCAAGTATATAAATAATTATTTTTCAAAATGGGTAGGGTCACACCTTGTATTAAAAAGTGAGGTTGACACAGTTTACGTTAGATGAATGCACTAATGGATCAGAGTTAGATGAGTTGTTTATGCACAACTATTTAATATGAGAATGGGGTGTAAGAGTTTCTTTAGTTTTTTACGAAAGAATGTTACAAACAGTAATGAAAGGTTTTACTATCCTTGTGTGAATTGTTTCAATTTGCAAAGGCAACCAGTAGACATTATATGAGAGCATGTTTTGTGTTATGGGCTTCTCAAAAGCTACACAATATAAACATGGCATGGTGAATTGTTAGATATGCCATGCGTAAAAATGTGTCAAACACAAACAAGAATAAGTTAATTTAGAGATGGACAATCAACTAGATGACATGATCTGTGATGTTGGGACTGATTCCTTCAAACATGCACATGTGTATAATAGTTTTTGTAGTGATATAGAGAAATCTTTGTATCCAGACTACTATAATTTTACACGACTATGTACAGTGTTAAGATTGTTAAATCTTAAGTCAAAAAATGGATGAAATGATAAAAGTTTCACAAAAATTTTAGAGTTGCTGAGTGAAATGCTTCCAAACGGTAACACTTTTTGACATGTAATTATTATGCAAAGAAGATATTATCTCTAATGAGTATGGAGTATAAAAAATAAAATCAATGAATGTCCCAACGATTGCATTTTATATAGAAAAAAGTTTGATAGCTTACATGAGTGTCTATAGTGTGGGATAACACTATATAAACTGAAGGAAGGTAACTCTAAAAGTGAGGTGAGCGCAATGGAATAAAATAGATTCCATGTTTCTAGATTTCAACAATGATCCATGAAACTTTAGGCTTGGACTTGCCATAGATGAAATGATTTATATGGTAACCTAAGTAATTAGTGATTTATATGGCTTGCATTACTCAGCCATGCACTCTCAAATGCAACCCTAAATGCTTCCTCCCTTCTATAAATACCCTAGGCTATGAAACTTGTACAAACTTTGGAATTTATGATATTGAAAGAGCCTTTGAGCCTTAATATCCTTCCTTAGTCCCCTTGGTCATTTCGGCCACCTATCCTTCTCATCTTCAACGTAAGTGTTCTCACCTTTAGGAGTAGCCTTCATCCATCAATGAAGTGAGCCAAAACCCTAGAGTACCATCTTAGTATTTCATCAAACACCTAGCCTCCATAACCTCCATTCGGTCACCACCATCATCAAGGCTAGAAACCTTGAAGTTCAATGATCCAAGGAGTCCGGTTTACCTCTTTGATGCTCCTTAATCCATCCATGCAAGGAGGGTTGCCATCAATAAGCATAATTCATGACTTGTCTAAGTAGTGATTTACAACTTACCTTTGTGGTTTTTCATGAAACAAAAGTATGTGATGCTATTTATGATGATTTTAGGTCAAAGACAACCAAGAAACAATATTCATGTTTATCTAAGCCCTTTGGTTAAGGACTTGAGGATGTTGTGAGAAGAAAGAGTTGATGTGTTTAAAGAATTTTTTGGTGAAATTTTTAAGATTTGTGCCATGTTGTTTTGCTCAATCAATGACTTTCCAACATATGACAATTTAAGTGGCTACAATGTTAAGGGACATAAAGCTTGCCCTATATGTGAAAATGACACATGTCACCATCAATTACATTGTGTAAGGAAAACAATTTACCTTAGAGATCAAATATTTCTTACTTAATCATCCTTGCTATAGATTGAAGAAATCATTTAATGGTCTTTAGGAAAATAATTTAGGTCCAATTCCCTTAATTAGTGACCAAGTTTATGAACAGGTGAAGAACTTAAGTGTGGTATTTGGGAAGAGTTGTGTGGAAAAGAGAGACACTAGAAGAGGGTTGAATAGTATCAACAAAACAACTCACTTTTTAGAAAAAGTAAAGTAGTAACTTTATGAATAAGTGGAAACAAAGAGTTAAAAGATTGAACATAGGGGATTTTTATACTGATTTGTCTCAACTATGGAGACTACATCTGGTTCTTGATCCAACCATATCAAGTTCCTCTATCTTATACAAAGATACAAGTATTATTTTCCCAAGCCACTTTTAGCTCAAACCTAAGTGTTCTTTGACTTGGATCTTCAAGTAATTATCTAAATATTCTTTCAACATAAAGCCTCTCTAGGATTTAACAACTAAATATTATTTTATAGTCAAGCTTCTTTAGGCTCAAAGCAAGAACACTAACTTATAGCTAGGTAAAAACTAAAAATATTTTTTTTCATCTTATTTCAAGACATGATACAACCAATACAATATTGAGCTATTTTACAGAAAGAAAGAATATGATCAATAATTGGTTTTATTCTTTCTATCTTTCTAAATCATCATGTTTCCTTATATAGGTGCTTCATTGAAGATGATCATTCCTTGAATATCTCCCACTAGTTTTCTTCGTTTGTCTTCGTCTATGTTCCTTGTGGAGAGAAGTGTCCTTTGGTGCATTAAACGATTACATTAAATGCTTTCACCAAATAGTCATTTATTATTTGATCAATAAAGCTACTTATCACCTTTTAGGTATCAAATAAGTGTAACCATGCATGTGTTAGGTTAGAGCAGTCTTGAGCAACTTTATCTAATGCTCTTTATGATTTAGGGATCTACTGTTCCTTTTCTGATGCAAAGCATGTTTGTTGTCTCTTTTAGTGAATGTGAGTACCAAAGAAGCTTTTTTTTTCTTTCGATCTGTTAAAAAATCATATAGAGACAAACAATTTAGTTGTCAAACATTATAAAGGATATAAAATCAAATTATGTGCGTCTTTCAGACTAAGTGTTTAGTTTGACTAGATAAATCATTCCTCTTAGTTCCTATTCATCTTAATGCTTTGTTTACAAAACTTTTCTCTAGAACAACATTTGTTTGTTGACATTAAAACTGAAGTTTAGTGGAAAACACATAGAATGGGGGGTTGAATGTGTGTGTGAACGAAAGATTTTAAAAATTGTTTTCGCAAAGGTGCTTCTTTCCATAAGAAAATAATATTTCAACTACGTAATGAAAGTGCAATATCGGTTAATCAGAACTTTACATCTGAGGATCTATCGTCTGTTTGAAAATGATTTCCTCAGTCAAACAAATATAAGTTCTTCCAAATATTGTTTAGAAAATAAATAGTAGTAGATGATGCCTTTCAGAGGGATAAGTCAATGTGAGTAAAGCAACGTTTCTAAATCAGATAACAATGCACAGAGTTTTTATACTGGTTCACTCGTTCTGAGCTACGTCCAGTCTCCTTCAACTAAAGGGTTCCACTAATCACAATGGATTACAAGTATTCTTAACCACTTCTAGTTCGTCAACCTCACTTGCTGACACTAGTATTCTTAAACCACTTTTGGTTGCCCAAGTATTCTCAACCACTCCTGGTTCGTCAACTTCACTTGCTGATACTAGTATTCTTAAACCACTTCTGGTTCTACAAGTATTCTTTTGATAGCCTCTTCTGGCTTTACAGACGATAAGAGTTTTGAGTGTGTTTGTAACTCTCACAAAGAGAATGGGATAGTTTCAACACTCACTAAGGTTTTCAACCCTAGTTTTACAAAAATGTGTTTAGAGTGTGTATGTAACTCTCACAGAGAGGATAAAATGATTTCTATACTCACTAAGATAAATTATCTTAGTTTTACACAGATATTCGACTCTTGCACGAGAAGAGAGGTGAGATTGTTTTGACGCTTGTTTTTGATTATTGCTTGTTGCTTCTCTCTTTCTCTTCTTCTCAGATCTTGTTATTTATAGCCTTATGATGGATCTTCCCATTGTTTGAATTTGAATATGTCCGTTGAGGTGGATCTTTCTGTTGGTGTAGATAAACGTTCGTTTATGGCTACACAAATCTTGTTCATATAATGCGTTTGATTTTGCATTAAATGCTTTGCTTGCTCAATCTGTATTTCGTGTGCAGTCCTTTGCATAATTTATTCCCTTTTGTTTCTGACTTCGATCATGACCTAGGTATGTTTGTCCTTTTTCTATCATTGTAGCTAGGGAGGCGTTGCCTTTCTCTGAAAAGTAGGTGTACTTGACCTGACACATGCAGCTTTGACTTGTGAATTCGTGCTCTTCAATTTTTCTTCTTCCTTTTCATTTCTTTGATAACTCCGTGTGCTTTTCTTATGAGTGGAGATGATATGTGAACTTCTTCATTGTGACTAGTGGACTTTAGATTCTTTTCCTCATGCTTCATTTGTGTTTGATAATTTGAATCTCCGTCTAAGAGTTAGACTTTGACTTTTTCATCTCGTCTGATCAGTCTTGAGGGTGAACAACTTTTATTCTGTCCGGAATGTTTCTTCGTCTTGTGTTATCCAACGACTGATGATTGCTTTGTTGACTTATATGTGATTGATTGTTGAGCTTGATCAACTATTGTCTTGGTCTAGTTTTTCTCCTGTTTGATATTTGATTTTCTTCGTCTTGTGTTATCCAACGACTGATGATTGCTTTGTTGACTTATATGTGATTGATTGTTGAGCTTGATCAACTATTGTCTTGGTCTAGTTTTTCTCCTGTTTGATGCAAGGATTCTAGAAGGGAAATTATTTGTATTAAAATCCAAAAACACAAGTACCTGTTCCCTCAAAGAAGACACTTTAGTCAAAAGAATCTCTCTCCACAGCAAACCGAGTAACTTCAGGGTTTCGATCAAGTCTACCCTGAAGTATCTGAATCTCATCATAAAGTGATTTATGTGATTCAGAATATTAATTTAGAATATTTTGTCTCTTTTCCACTTCCCTTATTATGTGACTTGGAAGGGAACACCAGTTTATCAACAAGAATTGCCAATTAAGTAGACTCAACAACAACTCTTTTATAATTGAATACTTGCACAAAAAAAGATAATACTGATTGAAGATACCCACAACCTCTCTAAAAGTGTTTCACGTTTCTACAGGGAGTAAAATATCATTTTATCGTGTTTTACATTGATCTATATTGATTTAAAGATGCTCACAACCCACCCAGAACAAAAATTGCAATTTGACATCTTCTCTCAAATGTGGCTCTCAATTCTTCCCTTTCTTACCATCACACTACGACGAAAGTGTACATGTTTTGTGTGCAAACGATCAGAAAACTTGATAAAAATAAAAAATATAGGAACTGCTGTTAATCAACAAAATCCATACTAACAATGCCAACTTACACTTAAGTCTTTGATAATGGGGTGATGTGTATCTAGTGTTTTATATGTTTTTTAAGCAATACCTTCATATATGGAAAACTGCACTGGTCAACCTTGTTATAGCTATTGGTTAGTATTGAGACACTTGTGATGTAATTTATTTATTATGCATATTGATGTTAAGCCTGTAAAATCATTAACTTCATCATACAATTTACAAGGAAATAATAATTACACTTGATTACATATTATATAGAGAATATTTAAAGATCATATAGTTCAAGATAACCTAATAATTTCTTGAAAGAAAATTTGAAGAGCAGTAACTCACCAGAGTCGAAATAAAGACAAATAGGGAATATCCATAGAGGCAGAGTAGTTGCACAAGGCCAGATGGTACAGAGATGTACTTAAGGATTAAATACAAACCAAGAGGAACCAGAAGCTTCGAATCCGCTTTCTCGATTATCTTCACCACTTGATCCACAACGGCCTTGCAAGCAGGTGAGTTTGGCTTGAACGCCGATTTCCTCAACTCCGCGTCTTTCTCCGCCACCGCGATAATCTCCATCACCGCCACTGCCTCCGTTCCCTTCCAAATCGTGGTTGGTTTTCCCTTCCAAATCTACCTTCTCAAACATTCAAGAAATTTTTAGGGTTCCAACTTTTTTTGAAGTTATGCCTTCGCCACCACAATTGTAGCCGTAGAAGTCACATTTCTCTGCAATTTTCCATAATCACGAGGAAACTATAATTGAACTCTGAGTAGAGAGAAGAGTTACATTACCTCTTGGACTTTGAAATTTGTCGGGGAAGACAAAAGAGAATGAGAGTTTGGCGTTTGTTCGTCTCGCATTAGGAGAAAATTCTTTGACTTGCAAAAAAAAGAGAATGAATGAGTGAACCCTAAAACGTGGAGAGAAAAAGAGTAATAAAATAGTGTTTTTGATTAAAAATAGGAAATGGGAAATGCTCAGATTAAACTATCTAAGTTTTTTATTTTTGATTTTTATTCTTTTAAAAATAATATAAAAAATGTAGCCACGTGTGATATAGAAAGGTTGAACAGGTATTTAAAGATTGTGGCGGTTTAAAACCGCTGAAAATATAATTCTTTGGTGGCGGTTAAAGTAACCGCCAGAAATATAATATTTTTTTGCGGTTTTTTGAAACCGCCAGAAAAAAACCCCCACTAATTAAATAATTTTTTGTAGTGAAACTATAAGTTAGTAATAATTAAATGAATACTTTAATTATTACTATTTTTTTGTTATTGTGCTAACATGGTTAATTACATGCGTATATTATATTGTTAATTTTATGAGTTTTAACTATGCATAATTATATGCTTAGTTATCTCAAAGTGTTCTATTATATAGTTGTTAGGAATATCGATCGATTATGAGTGAACCTTAATTTTTTATTTAAGATTGAATATAATGGTTACACAATTAATGTATAATCATTATATTGAATCTTGAATTATCCGATTGGACAATTTGATACATTTTTTTGTAGTTGATTAATGCGCGCGCACACACACACAAAGACACAAACACACACACACACATACATATACATACATATATATATATACACACACACACACATACATACATACATATATACATACATACATATTGATCAATTGTAGATTTCAATTGACTACATTTCTTGTTGTTCTCAAAGTGTATACTTGATTATCGTGAATTTGATGTTACCAGTTTCATTTTGTGTACTTAGTGACTAATTCAAAATGTTGTCAAATTTAATGTATTAGATTTTAACTTTATGTATTAATCAAGTATATAAATAATTATTTTTCAAAATGGGTAGGGTCACACCTTGTATTAAAAAGTGAGGTTGACACAGTTTACGTTAGATGAATGCACTAATGGATCAGAGTTAGATGAGTTGTTTATGCACAACTATTTAATATGAGAATGGGGTGTAAGAGTTTCTTTAGTTTTTTACGAAAGAATGTTACAAACAGTAATGAAAGGTTTTACTATCCTTGTGTGAATTGTTTCAATTTGCAAAGGCAACCAGTAGACATTATATGAGAGCATGTTTTGTGTTATGGGCTTCTCAAAAGCTACACAATATAAACATGGCATGGTGAATTGTTAGATATGCCATGCGTAAAAATGTGTCAAACACAAACAAGAATAAGTTAATTTAGAGATGGACAATCAACTAGATGACATGATCTGTGATGTTGGGACTGATTCCTTCAAACATGCACATGTGTATAATAGTTTTTGTAGTGATATAGAGAAATCTTTGTATCCAGACTACTATAATTTTACACGACTATGTACAGTGTTAAGATTGTTAAATCTTAAGTCAAAAAATGGATGAAATGATAAAAGTTTCACAAAAATTTTAGAGTTGCTGAGTGAAATGCTTCCAAACGGTAACACTTTTTGACATGTAATTATTATGCAAAGAAGATATTATCTCTAATGAGTATGGAGTATAAAAAATAAAATCAATGAATGTCCCAACGATTGCATTTTATATAGAAAAAAGTTTGATAGCTTACATGAGTGTCTATAGTGTGGGATAACACTATATAAACTGAAGGAAGGTAACTCTAAAAGTGAGGTGAGCGCAATGGAATAAAATAGATTCCATGTTTCTAGATTTCAACAATGATCCATGAAACTTTAGGCTTGGACTTGCCATAGATGAAATGATTTATATGGTAACCTAAGTAATTAGTGATTTATATGGCTTGCATTACTCAGCCATGCACTCTCAAATGCAACCCTAAATGCTTCCTCCCTTCTATAAATACCCTAGGCTATGAAACTTGTACAAACTTTGGAATTTATGATATTGAAAGAGCCTTTGAGCCTTAATATCCTTCCTTAGTCCCCTTGGTCATTTCGGCCACCTATCCTTCTCATCTTCAACGTAAGTGTTCTCACCTTTAGGAGTAGCCTTCATCCATCAATGAAGTGAGCCAAAACCCTAGAGTACCATCTTAGTATTTCATCAAACACCTAGCCTCCATAACCTCCATTCGGTCACCACCATCATCAAGGCTAGAAACCTTGAAGTTCAATGATCCAAGGAGTCCGGTTTACCTCTTTGATGCTCCTTAATCCATCCATGCAAGGAGGGTTGCCATCAATAAGCATAATTCATGACTTGTCTAAGTAGTGATTTACAACTTACCTTTGTGGTTTTTCATGAAACAAAAGTATGTGATGCTATTTATGATGATTTTAGGTCAAAGACAACCAAGAAACAATATTCATGTTTATCTAAGCCCTTTGGTTAAGGACTTGAGGATGTTGTGAGAAGAAAGAGTTGATGTGTTTAAAGAATTTTTTGGTGAAATTTTTAAGATTTGTGCCATGTTGTTTTGCTCAATCAATGACTTTCCAACATATGACAATTTAAGTGGCTACAATGTTAAGGGACATAAAGCTTGCCCTATATGTGAAAATGACACATGTCACCATCAATTACATTGTGTAAGGAAAACAATTTACCTTAGAGATCAAATATTTCTTACTTAATCATCCTTGCTATAGATTGAAGAAATCATTTAATGGTCTTTAGGAAAATAATTTAGGTCCAATTCCCTTAATTAGTGACCAAGTTTATGAACAGGTGAAGAACTTAAGTGTGGTATTTGGGAAGAGTTGTGTGGAAAAGAGAGACACTAGAAGAGGGTTGAATAGTATCAACAAAACAACTCACTTTTTAGAAAAAGTAAAGTAGTAACTTTATGAATAAGTGGAAACAAAGAGTTAAAAGATTGAACATAGGGGATTTTTATACTGATTTGTCTCAACTATGGAGACTACATCTGGTTCTTGATCCAACCATATCAAGTTCCTCTATCTTATACAAAGATACAAGTATTATTTTCCCAAGCCACTTTTAGCTCAAACCTAAGTGTTCTTTGACTTGGATCTTCAAGTAATTATCTAAATATTCTTTCAACATAAAGCCTCTCTAGGATTTAACAACTAAATATTATTTTATAGTCAAGCTTCTTTAGGCTCAAAGCAAGAACACTAACTTATAGCTAGGTAAAAACTAAAAATATTTTTTTTCATCTTATTTCAAGACATGATACAACCAATACAATATTGAGCTATTTTACAGAAAGAAAGAATATGATCAATAATTGGTTTTATTCTTTCTATCTTTCTAAATCATCATGTTTCCTTATATAGGTGCTTCATTGAAGATGATCATTCCTTGAATATCTCCCACTAGTTTTCTTCGTTTGTCTTCGTCTATGTTCCTTGTGGAGAGAAGTGTCCTTTGGTGCATTAAACGATTACATTAAATGCTTTCACCAAATAGTCATTTATTATTTGATCAATAAAGCTACTTATCACCTTTTAGGTATCAAATAAGTGTAACCATGCATGTGTTAGGTTAGAGCAGTCTTGAGCAACTTTATCTAATGCTCTTTATGATTTAGGGATCTACTGTTCCTTTTCTGATGCAAAGCATGTTTGTTGTCTCTTTTAGTGAATGTGAGTACCAAAGAAGCTTTTTTTTTCTTTCGATCTGTTAAAAAATCATATAGAGACAAACAATTTAGTTGTCAAACATTATAAAGGATATAAAATCAAATTATGTGCGTCTTTCAGACTAAGTGTTTAGTTTGACTAGATAAATCATTCCTCTTAGTTCCTATTCATCTTAATGCTTTGTTTACAAAACTTTTCTCTAGAACAACATTTGTTTGTTGACATTAAAACTGAAGTTTAGTGGAAAACACATAGAATGGGGGGTTGAATGTGTGTGTGAACGAAAGATTTTAAAAATTGTTTTCGCAAAGGTGCTTCTTTCCATAAGAAAATAATATTTCAACTACGTAATGAAAGTGCAATATCGGTTAATCAGAACTTTACATCTGAGGATCTATCGTCTGTTTGAAAATGATTTCCTCAGTCAAACAAATATAAGTTCTTCCAAATATTGTTTAGAAAATAAATAGTAGTAGATGATGCCTTTCAGAGGGATAAGTCAATGTGAGTAAAGCAACGTTTCTAAATCAGATAACAATGCACAGAGTTTTTATACTGGTTCACTCGTTCTGAGCTACGTCCAGTCTCCTTCAACTAAAGGGTTCCACTAATCACAATGGATTACAAGTATTCTTAACCACTTCTAGTTCGTCAACCTCACTTGCTGACACTAGTATTCTTAAACCACTTTTGGTTGCCCAAGTATTCTCAACCACTCCTGGTTCGTCAACTTCACTTGCTGATACTAGTATTCTTAAACCACTTCTGGTTCTACAAGTATTCTTTTGATAGCCTCTTCTGGCTTTACAGACGATAAGAGTTTTGAGTGTGTTTGTAACTCTCACAAAGAGAATGGGATAGTTTCAACACTCACTAAGGTTTTCAACCCTAGTTTTACAAAAATGTGTTTAGAGTGTGTATGTAACTCTCACAGAGAGGATAAAATGATTTCTATACTCACTAAGATAAATTATCTTAGTTTTACACAGATATTCGACTCTTGCACGAGAAGAGAGGTGAGATTGTTTTGACGCTTGTTTTTGATTATTGCTTGTTGCTTCTCTCTTTCTCTTCTTCTCAGATCTTGTTATTTATAGCCTTATGATGGATCTTCCCATTGTTTGAATTTGAATATGTCCGTTGAGGTGGATCTTTCTGTTGGTGTAGATAAACGTTCGTTTATGGCTACACAAATCTTGTTCATATAATGCGTTTGATTTTGCATTAAATGCTTTGCTTGCTCAATCTGTATTTCGTGTGCAGTCCTTTGCATAATTTATTCCCTTTTGTTTCTGACTTCGATCATGACCTAGGTATGTTTGTCCTTTTTCTATCATTGTAGCTAGGGAGGCGTTGCCTTTCTCTGAAAAGTAGGTGTACTTGACCTGACACATGCAGCTTTGACTTGTGAATTCGTGC